CTTGAGCCTGCTGTGTGCGAGGAAGCTGGGCGCTTGCATGGTCAGAGCAAGAGCAAAGGTGGTTAAAAGCTTTCCTCCCCGTGTGCACGCGGTTGGTGTTAACGCAATAGTAACTCCTCTGCATTTAAATGCGATGCAATAAAAAGATCCAGCTCCACTCCCACATCAATTACTTGCTGCACTCTTGAATATCAGCTAGTGTAAAATAAAACACTTTTGGGCATTTCTAAAACTTTTCCAAATCTATTATTGACAGGTCTTAAGGTGAACTGAACTTCTACGTGACCATTCCTCCCCTCTGCTTTTGCTCATTATGCAACAATTTGCTATTTTAACTATGCCCAACAATGGCCCAATACCGAGCTGAACTAACTGATTTCTGATGGAACTTGCAGCTCCAGTACTGCTGGTTATTCAGGCATGCTGCAGCTTTCCCTCTGCTGGGATGCGAAAGGGTGGATTCCAGATATGAATTCCAGACCCTGCCGTTCTGAGTCAGGCACTGATTGCAGTTAAGCGTTTGCAGCGGTGCCGTTTTTATGACATCCTGACAGAGCTTTAAGCCCAAGAAAGGATTCTACTTTCCTTGAGGGCTGTTAAACCTCTATGGTGCACAGCGAGCATGTCAGCTGGGTGCTTTCTGAGGGAAAGTGGTGGCCACAGAGAGCAGTTTCCCAATCCCTTGGGAGCCAGGTCTGCAGTAAGAGCAGCGATGGGAATCCAGTGGCAGAGCCAGAGGCAAGGGGCATGTTCCAAGCAATCGCTTTGGCAGGACACGTCATTCGGGCACATTTGTTCCTTCCCAGTGATAACAAGTAGCAGTCTGAGGTTAAAGAAAGGTCATTAAGTTAGAAAATGTGTTTAAATATGCAACAGAATGATTATTCAGAGAACTGCCTGCCAAAGAAGCGGTCACTGCTCTTAAAGCACACACAAGCTGAGAAAACAGACTGGGTAAGGGAGAAGGGATCAGCAGAGCAAAGAAGTCAAAGCATTTCAGGGAGCTGTGTCTGTTAGTGTTCTCTCACACACACAAATGCATTGATTTTCAAGTGGTCTACCCTGGATTTTGGAAAATGACAGGTCTTGTCTGTCTTGCACAGACACCGAGGAACTCTCAGCCTGCCTGAAGTTTAATCCACAATTTACAGCTATAGGAGAAACTGCATTCCTCTCAATTCCCTCGTCAGATTTACAAAGAAAAAAAAAGAAAAAAAAAAAAAAACCACAACACTCCTCCAAAATATCAAATAGCATTTGTAAAGTCAGTCCCTTTCCCTAAAAGTTTTGACTAACAGGCTGTGCTTAGTGTGCAGATTTTAAGGTTTTCAATAATCTTATGGTCATATTGGCACAAATTAAGTGGAGTGGATTTTTCATTCTGTGAAATGCTCCACAGGAATTGAGACAAATGGTCTCAATTCAAAAAGAATCCCTGATAATGTTTGGCATGTAAGGTACAAAAATACCTGTATATCCAACCAAAGTAGCTTTGTGATACATCTAAATTTCAAAACTGAGGACTGCTTTTGACCTTAACTCATAGTTAATTGTTGCTGGAATTATGTTGTATAATATAGAGCTTTGACTGTGATTTTTTTAATGAACTAATTTAATCCTACTTTGCTTCCATTTTGTCCCAAGGGAGTAACACCGCTACCCATAACTAGGAAATGGTCACCAAGCAATTAATCCAGGCTAGGATCCGTCTGAAAGCAGAACAAGACTCGCTGCCGGTTCCACAGGAGCACCTTGTCCTCCACTACAGGTACTTAACAAATTTTTGAATTGGACACAATAAAGGGAGCTCTCCTTCCCAGTCTGATGGTAATTTGCACCACTGAATTTAGAAGTCTGGCTTGTTAGGTATTAACCAGTCATCTGGGAATCCAATTGAGTAACAGAGCAGTTGTTGCAAGACCAAGACTCCCATATAAATCATGCTTGAGTCTTAAGTAAATATTGGTTCAAATATTGATTCAAATGAAAGATATGACCACGGTTTAAGAGGTTAAAGTTGCCAGCTGAACTACTTCAGAGAGGACCACTCCCTCTGCATTCATCTGAGATTCACATCAAAGCATTCACTGCAGTCTGAACTCACAGGAACGGGGCATTTCACTTGATTGTGGTAACCACACTCTCCATCAGAACTTATGCTTGATGCTATGAAATCAAAGGTATCATACTGAATATCACTCGCTAAGGAATACCTTATTTAATTATTTAGTTTTGCTGTGATAGGCATAACTTCTGGAAACAAGGTGGGTGAGATATGATACATTACTTTTTACTGAGCACCAAATGCGGAGGGAGAGGGTAGGTTGTTTTCTGGCATTTAGCAGCTGTAACAACTGCCACTAAGAAATCCAGAGGAAGGAAATGGGGTGAAAGGAACACTTGATCATAAAACGGAAAGGTGCTTTTTGCACTTCAGAAAATGGAAGCAGCTTTTCTCATCAGTCTGAGGAAACTCAAGGGAAAACGAGTGCCCCGTGCTGTTTGTTTTTACACTAACACAAAGTATTGAGAGCCACATCCACACTAAGACTTGCTCTTGCATTGCAATACAGCCTTGAATCCCAATTGCCTTTCTGAATAGGAGTAATGCAATCCTTTCTGGATACATTTAACAGTTGCAGATCCAAACAGCAGCAAGTTTCCCAGTTTCCTGGGCATTACTGCCTTACCAGAGTCCTAAGCTGGCAATGTAGAGAGAAAAAAGAGCCTGTGTGCTTCATTTCCAGCTAGCCCAGATAGGTATTTTGTGAGTAATACACACCAGCTGCTCTAAATTTCCAGCTCTTGTTGATATTCACTTTTAAGAGTGGTGCAATGATTGCTATATTCACTAAACTTTTTTTTTTTTTTTAGAAAAAAAAAGTTTAGAACACAGAAATGAAGTAACGTTTCGAATGATAAGCAGATTTGCATCAAAGCAGCTCCAGCTTTTAAATGTAGGAAGCTACACATACCTTTATCTCCCCAAAACAACCCCCTAATATGTTTTAAGACATTTAGGCATCATCTTAGCTTTCAGAGTAACACTGTTAATGATATTATTCACAAGAGGAGGGACTGGAATCAAAGCTTGGAGCATCACACCACCTAAAACTGAGGCACTATATGGATCATAAAAGCTTGGAATTAAAAACCTTTCCCCCACAAAAAGTTATCTCCCGAGGCAAATTGGCCTTACCTGGTACATGTAAAACCCAGCTAGCCACTGAATTCAGAGCAATTAGGCCCCACAAAATATTCTCTAAGTGATGCTTTTACTAATGTATGCTTTGCACAGTGCCATAGAGCACTCAGAAAATTACTGCTCTTCAAGCCATTGCCCACAGAGGCTGTTGGCCATGTACACGTCTCACAAATGCCCAGCTCAATGCTTCTGGCCTGCAGCATCTGCTGTGGTTGAGTCTCTTTCCTAGATGCCACCACAGGCTCCCGAGAGCCCATGGAACGAAGGACAGAGTGAACTCAGTTATCCCCCAGTTACTTCTGATTGCCAAAAGCCATGAGACAAAATCCCCACTTATATCATTTCCAGCACATGTGCCATTGTAAGTCCTTTCCTTACATACGCAGGCAGCTAGCATGTTGCTCTGAATTGTGCAAGAAATTCTTTTGCCCACTGCTTGACATACTTGCTGGTTTTAAGGACCTTTTTGCTTTTACAGTCTAGCTGCCGCAACTGAAACCGAGCTGGGTCGGTTCCAAACCGGTCTGCAACTGTCCTTTTTTTGCCCTACAAAAGCTGCCATACCCACGGCAGGCATTCAGTTTGCCAGCCCTCCTCACACACAGCCTGTTTTTCAGGCAGGATTTGACTAGATGCTGGTACCTGCCCCAGTTTCCTCACAGGCCCTGACAGGAGGCCTTGCAAAAGTACCTGCTCTGAAAGGCCATAGGCTGCTCAGCACCAAGAGGGACCCCTGACGCGACTTCCAGTGAGGGGGACATCAGCCACAAGCGTGTCAAGCCTCACAGCCCTTGCTCAGGTAAGGCCCAGGAGTGACACGGAGCGCTGCTCGGGGGCACCCTGCTCGGGGCAGCGCTGTGGGGAGGAGCAACGTGTGGTTACGCACCGTGCAGCTCCCCCTCAGCATTCTCCCAAGCACTGGGAGGGATTCCTCCTGCAAGGAGGGGGAAGCTTGTGCCGGTGTCAATGCTCTTGTTATATGCAGAGTATTTTCTCCCTGAGGATGACAGCTTCTGTACAAGGACATATGAGAACGCTAAGCCTTGCACCTTCTGGGCATGCTTGAGATGGAAAAGTACCAACATTTATCTCTACCTCAGCAATTGGCTCTGCTAGAAAAATAACTCTAGCTCATCAACCATGTAATCCAAAAAAATCATTGTGATTACAGACCTTTGCATTAACAGAGAAAAATCCAACTTAATTCTGACTCCAAGCGTAATATCCATAAAGACAGTTTCACTCAGAGGTCTTCAGGGAGTTATCTCAGATTTCAAACAAGATTACACACTTCCAAGCACGTGAGTGGTTAATTTGGCTTCTTCCTCCCGTCCGATAGATTTTGCCAGACATTGTTTAGCGAGAATCTTTGAAATTGGTGTTTCTGCCAAGCAGGCAGCTTGTGGACAAAAATTCTTTCACTTGGGCAACAGATGAAAAAAAAACCTACTTCAGCCTCCATAAGAGTTTTCCTTCTTTCACATATGCCTGCCAAGGCTATTGCTAAAGAGCTCTCGATGGGAGGATGCAGAACTTGACGGGGCTGCCGGAGCTCAGCAAGGTCCTCCCTCCCCACGTTGAGGTTTTGGAGCGCACAGCTCTCCTCTCGGCTCGTGACGTAGCGTTTCCCTTCTCCTGGAGCTCCCCTCTCAAGGACCCGATGGGCAGAAACGCAGCCAGGCACTTTGTCAGCACAGAAGTGGGGCAAGGCCATCGCCCTCCCTCTGGCAGCTTTGGTGTTTGGGCTTTGGGTGTTTGCCCACAGCGAACGCTCGTGTCCCTGCACCAGCCTGACCCTTGGCGTCCCCGGCCAGCCCCAGCGATCCCGCTACCCCAGGGAAGGCAGAGGCCCTGGCCCAGCGGTGACGGCCCCCAGCTGGGTCAGGGCACTGGCGCTTGTGTCCCTTGTCACTGCGGCCCACGCGGTGCTGCCGCTGCTGCCTCCTCCGGCCGCTCGGCATCGCTTGCTCCTGCCGCATGGCTAAGTGCCACAGAAAAACACAGCTCAGTTAAAGTTCAAGCCTAGCTCCCACTCAAAAAACAAATACAGCAAACACCACCACCACCGCACCACAACCCATCCAATTCTTCAACAGAACGACTCTAAAACAAATAGAGTGATCTCAAAAACAAAAATAGAAGTGCTTTCGATCCCCACCTGCCTGCCTAGAAAATCCCATGTCTGTGATTTTTTTGTACTGGCAAAATCTGCAGGGATTTTCCATCAGGTTCCTAAGGCTACATTGTCCAAAAAAACTAGCCCTGAGCAGGGGTGACTTGCTGTCTATAGTGTTTTTTGCTGCCGTTGGATTCTGCAGGGGTCTCTTGCGTGTATTTTTCCCTATTCAGAGGGCATCCACCTCCGCATAACCTTGAAAGAGCCACAAGCATAAGACTCTTTTCTTCTCAATAGATTGATTTACAGTCTCTCTATCTTCCTCTCATAGTGCAGAATGATTCAGGTTCCTAAATCCGACCAAATTTATATCAAATTCCATCGCACAAAGGGTGGGATTCACCACAGGGCTGAGGAGCAGGATCTGTGGCCTTCTGGCCCTCAGCTGCAACTGGCAGTCCAGACTCGAACACCGCAGCCCACAGGGACATCACCAGAGGGATCGCAGTAACTCACCTGTCCTTCCTCTCCCTTTCAAACTCTGAGATGGCAACGTGCTCACAACAGGGCTATGTGAGGGCCCTCTGGAAAAGGCAGCAGATGGCTGTCACACAGGGAGGAAAAAGCAGCAGCACGAGGGGAGGAAAGGAGGCTGATGCCTACTCGATACGAGAGGGCAGAAGACCTTCCTACTGCTCTGAGGAGGGCAGGAGGCCTGTGCTTGGTGGCCAAACCCAGATCAGCCGTGCGGTGCAGGGCTCCGTCCCTCTGTTTACCTAGGAAAGATCTGGAGGAGCATCAGTGTCAGCGCAGCCCCAGCACGCGCGCTGCAAAGGCAGGAGGGCTGATATTTTCTGTACTAGCTTGGCTGCTGCTCTTGGCCGCGTACCAGCAGAAATAAAGCTCTGCTATTGTTATTACCCCATTCGAGAGATCAGTCTGAAGGACAAGCCTGCCGCTAGGCAGAGAGAGAGTAACACAGTAGAGGAACTAACAGTTCCCTCCTCTCCTTTTCTTCCACCGTGCTACATGCCTTATCTGCGCTCGCTTATCTGCGCACTAACAATAGCTCCCGAGCGGCGTAGGAAAGTTAAACAAGCCAAGCCGAGGGATGGAGCCGTCAGCCCTGAGCGCTGACTGAAGCTACAAGACCACGCGCTCTTCGAGGGGAAGAACTGCAGAAGGAACAGGTTTTGGGGCATTACTGACCCCAAGCTACAGCCGTCTGGTCCATCTTGCCCTGCCTACAAAAAGATCCCTCCAGGTCCTCATTACAGGCTAGCAAGGTCAGAGACCTGGGGCTTTTTCCCTCTAAATCAGAACGTAGGCCACACCAATAGCAGATCATGTCCTACCAGTGCATTTCATCCATGTGAAAACAAAAATAGTGACAGTAAGGCGGTCATCAATAGACAGGCACCGAACAAATGTGTCCCCAGGGCCTGCACTGCGGCAGACGGGTTGATGACGTACGTCAGGGAAGGGAAGAGGTAGAGCAGGGCATTTCCTGTTCGCCTCTTCTCTGTGTCCAAAATCAGAGAGTTTGCTGAGGTTAATTGAGGAAGAAATGGAGGTTTGGGAAAGCAGTTTCCCTGCTGCATAACTGCAAATAACCCTATTGCACAGCATCATGCTGTGCAGGAGGAAAACAGGATCCCTCTGTGTCTAGGATGGTTTCAAACAGCTATTTATCCAAAGCCCAGTCAATCCCCTCTGCGTGGAGGACCCAGTACTGCAGCGATTCTCCTGCTGGGCTTCATTAAATTCACTTGAGTATCACAGACTTCTGGGTAGGGCTTTGTTTGTGCCACACAGGTTTGTCTCTTAATTTACCCAGCTTTCCTTTCAGCAAGGTGTGTTCTCCCACACCCACCCTTTGGCCTTGAGAAGGCCAGTCCCTTAACAAACCGTACCACACTGTTTGTTTTAGTAATTCTTACCCAAGGTCTTTATCTTTGAATCCTGTTTGTGCAGCTCTGGACAAGATTCAGTTCTTGGCAGGGAAGGTGAGCGAGGGTTTCTTAGTGCCTCTAGTCTTTAATAATACTATCTTACCCAGGGCTATTAAGCAGCTGATCTTGCTGGCACTGAGATGGCGTGATGGTGTGAATTGCTGTCCATTACAGTCAGAGCAAACAACTTGGGACTGCCACTGTGGGACGTGCTATGAGGAACCGCAGCGTGCACAGAGCACAGTCCTTGGAGGGAGCGCTGTGGTGGAGCCCACCGCGAGTCCCTTCACCTGCTTTCCGCAGGGCTGCCCACGGTGACAGCGAGCCTGGAGCCACACGTGGCCTGGCTGCTGCTGCTGCAGACCTGCAGCTTGCGGTGCTGGTCCCCACCGCGGAGCGGCTCGTCGGAGCGAGGAGCGGCTGGTGCTCAGGACACGTCTGCAGCAGGAGCTGCCGGCCGCGGCCGGGAATGCCTGGAATGCGCGGCCAGCGGCTGCTTCGCAGATCCCCCTCGAGGAAGCCCTCCACGTTCCTCACAGAACCGGCAGAGCGGCAGCCCCTGCGCGCTGCCTCTCGGAGAGCAGCAGCCGCCTCCCTCAGCCCCACGCAACGGAAAACGTCTCCAACTTCAGTCTTAACCCCGGCTCCCCTTTCAGAGGCAAAAGCGTCATGGGAAATTCAAGTTCCACACATCAGCACAAACTGGGCCTTTCCAGATGTGCTCCGGGTCTGGATGCAGCTCTGGAAGCCAGGTTGCTGTCAGAGGAGGGGCTCCTCCACAGCAGCGAGTGGAGTATCTGCAGCCCAGCAGTGTAACAGCTTCTCAGGGCCAGAAAAAAGGTGCTGCTGATCTGCCTGGGTGATAGATGAAGCTCCTGTAGTTTTAGAATAGTCTGGAACATGGCAAGGACTTTAACTCCAGTGCTTAGGACTGTTCTGGGAAGAGGGGAGTTAGAGAACCCTCCTTCCTACCTTACCCTACAGGTGAATATTTTCTCAGAGGACATTTCCCAGACTGTTCTAAGTGGGAATCATCTCTGCCCATCAAATCAATTCTTAGCACAGAAACCTCTTTTCTGGAAGTGATTTATTGCAGGAAGACTGTAAATCACTGTGGTAGCAGCACTAAAGGTAACATGAACTGTAGATGCTTCAATTCAGCAAGGGGGAGCAGGAGAGGAGGAATCAGGGCTATTGCCAGCTCCGCGGTCTGAACCTCGGGAAACGCCTCCATCAAACTCACCGTTCTGTCTCCACATTCCCTTACATCACTTCCAGACATTTCTCATTTCCAAGACTCAAATCAGCTGCAATGGGGGCCAGGCCTCTGCGCAGAAGCCAGCAGGCATCTCCTTGCCCTCCTCCAGGCACGAGACAACCACCCAGACTTCACACTTGCAGGAGCTGGAGGAGGTTTTATACCCACCCTCCAACCCCACTCGTGTGGGGCCCCACGCAGGCGCTGCACCCGCAGCCCACGCTGCGCTGTAGCTGTTCCACGGCACCCCGGAGCACGCGGGGAAAAACACCTTTTTTCTGCCTGGTTTTGTGATGGAAAAAAGGTCACCTCTAAGGAAACCGACCGAGAGCATCATCTTTAAATGGAAAGGATTTGCTGCTGTTGAAGAAATAGCGCAAGGAGAACAATGAGGGGGAGGGATGTGCAGCTCCAGCACTTCATATTCAGGAAACACCCACTTCTGTAATCAGCTTTTCATGGTGCAAAAAGAAGTGCTGAGAAAGAGAAAAGAGGAAATAAATGAGATGGAAAAAAAAAAACAGGCTGAAAGGCAGGTGATCTGTCTGATGAGAGTTGTTTAACTGTGATTACACTGCTACTCTACATCCTTTGGCTCTCCTCTGCTGTCCTATAATAACTCAAATGCTTTTCCATTATCTTCTCTCCTGGTCTTTTGTTCTTGATTCACTGTTACTGTGGATCTGCCACAGCCTGGGGTGAGATCTGTGACCCTCTCTCCCAGAACACGCGCAGCTCCCTTCTTGCTATCAGCACAGACCTTAGGTGCTTATTGATCTGGGCATGCCTTAAAGCAGACTGTCCTCCCCCTCTGTGCTGGGTATCCTCTTAGAGGGGCACTTGCTTCCAGCCTCTATGTCCAGCCCTATTTCTCCAAGTATCCCGGGATCTTTCGTTCCTACTAGAGAATCAGCTCACCCTTCCTGAGCAACAATTCAGCATAATAAAAAGAGAATCCTAAGCATCCCTTGCCAATTTCTATCTAAATCTCAGTATTTTACATGCAACCAATGCTGTGGAATATTATGAATCCCCTCAAGTGACTCCCGGGTGTCTTCACTATCCTTGAATGAGTTTATTATTTATCAGATAAGGCCACTGTTATTCTTCCGTACCCACTTGACCAGGCACTGCCAAGTTCTCTCAGCCCTGCAGGACCAGGAGCTCCCTCCATCAGTGGTTCTCTCTGGAACAGAAGGTCATGGGCCTTTGAACAGCAAAAGGCCTTGGCCAGCAATTACTCAAATGAACATTGAAGTCCAAGGTCTTAAGTAGCCCCAGAAGGTATAGAAGGATGAGGTACTTGTCCGTGATCCTGGGGAAAAGCTGTCTCCCCAGCTCTACTAAAAGGTTGTAGGGGCTGCCTGACTGCTAAAGGAAGCTGGTTTCAGACAAGGAGAGTGGCCAGCACCGGAGCCCAGGCACATGAGAACCTGCCTTGAGCTCTTCCCTGGAACACAGCAGGGCTTGGGGCCTTTCACACATTGCCAAAGGTCCTGCCAATAGGAATTTATGAAACAGGGCTACCGCGCCACATGCACTGGAGTGAACTTGGAGGAAAATGTAACAAAAACAGCCACTTCCAGGGCCCAAGACATAAGTAATTCAGTGAAATTAGGGCAGCTTTGAGGCTTTACTAACTCAAAGTGCCAC